CATGGTGAAGGAAAGGGGGGGGAACTGCAGTGCTGATGCATGGATGTGTAGTTTGTACTACACTAGTTACCAAGGGGAGGAGCCTTTTGCCTAAAGCACTTGAGTGTTTCTACATGTGACTCGCCTGTGCCTGGGAACATTACTCACCCTGTAGTGGAAGAGTGCCAGCAGGCAGGAGGTGACCATTCCTCTCCTTGTTTTACGTCAAGTGTGTGAACCAGAGGAATGTCCAAGCTGTGGCTCTATTTACAAAACAAGCTCTTTAGTTACTATTCCTGATGACCATGCTAACACAGTTGTTGCGAGGCACTATGACTGCTGCCAGCTGAGACTCACTCAAAGGGTTTCAAATAAATGGCCCATTCATTTGTGGTGTTCGGCTCTGAATCATTATATGTTGCTTTGCGTCGGATGTATGGATTAAACACATTAAACACTATCGGACTGCAGCATGTAACTTTGTTACTACTTTTATCATTTTACATAGCAGTTTACTTCCCCCCCGCCCCCCCCCCCCCCCTTTTCTAAGTGGATAAACACAAAGCAGATAAAGAATATGACCACACACTCAGGATTTGTTTACATCTCTTCCTGTTAACATGTTATGCCGGATTTGGTCTTTATATGCTGACACACGAAATGATTTCCACTCAGAAAAAGGAAAATGAACAGGAACTGGAGGGGATGTGACATTTAGGGAACACCGAGGGACCTGCTGACCAAAACAAACAACACACACACATACTGTACATGTAGACTTGTGGTGGAAGAGGGAAATAAATCGGCTCATGTAGTTTCCAAGGTGTGGTCAGCTGTGTGACTGGTGTCTTTTCATTGGTATTCCCACTTTCCCCTCTATCTGGACACTCTGGAAGAACTTTGGAGTACCTGATTCATCTTATTTACTGTATTAATTATTTCAAATACCTTCAAGTTTTTTTTTTTAACAGAAAAAAACTCCTTTAAGATTCAATTTATTTCGTCTATAATCAACCAATGCTGATTACCAAAACATAAGAAATACCAGTGAATTAAAACAACCTATAACTACATTCAGTAAAACTAGATTTCAACTGAAGTTAAAATTAAAGCTTACGTACTCCTTCTGAATTTCTGGTCGTACTGGTTATATCCCTTGGCATAAAACAGGGTACTACTACAGGTTAACACATTCCTATTAATATCTAGACTGCCTCAAAGGTCCATTTCTCTCTTATTTTGTGCAATAAACCAAAGTGTGAAGTAACTATTTACTTAGGTATTGCACACAAATACAGTTTTGAGGAACTGGACTTTAAATTATTGTTTCGTGTTATCTTTCTATTTTATTTTATTAACATGCAAAACATGACCTAAAAAAAAACTATAAGATTCAATATCTGGTACACTGAGCTAAACCTAATGCAGTGTAACACAACAGTCCTGCAATAAATCCCCACTTCATCAATAATGAAGTGATATTATAATGCTCAGTTTTATAGAGGTGTTGATTCAATGTTCAGATCATTTTTAGAGGATGTAGTTTGCAGTGCTGTTGAAACCTATTGCATTATACAGAGCCGTTTGTTATTTAATCTACCCTTGTTGATATAAATGACACAGACAGAATAATAGAAACACCTGTTAGTATAACGCAATACAGTTTACCAGCACCGCAAACGGCATCCTCCAAAATGAGCACGCAGTTGAATCACCACCTCTATAAAACAGTTTCAACAAAAACAGAATTATAACCTTCATGAAAAGGAGGATTTATTGGAAGACTGCATTTGTTTTGGCTACGTGTACATAATAAACTGGCAGTGTGATGTATATTACTGTATAAGTAAGCAAAACACCTTTATAATTGCTAATACTATTATACTTGTATTTAAAAGGTTAGTTCACTCAAATTACAAAAAAAAAAAAAAAACATTTTCAATGCTGTGAGCACCACAAATGAAATCCTGGAGAAATACAACAAAAATATCTGCATGGTTTGAGCTCACTAGAGGAAAGTGAGAATTTATATTGTATATGTACTATATATATATATATACACACAAATAAAGCAAGTCGGCCATTAAAGCCTACGTTTAACGCATTTCTTTAAATTGAAGTTGAGCTTTTTTTCCCCCACCAATAGAAAAAATGGATAAATTACAATAAACTAACATTCCAGTAAGTACACACAGTTGATCATGTTGTACTAAGCTGTCTATCATGGACGCTGGAACAAGTTTGGTCCCCTTTGCGGCCAGTAGGGGTAGATGTGGGACTTACTTGCCTCACAGATTCTGCCTGGCAGTTCTTTGCACATGTTGAGTGGTAGTTTAAAGACAGAGTACTGAAATGTACTTGTTGAGCTGCATTTACTAATGGAATGGTCATCTTCTTTAATTTGTTCAAAGACTGGTTTAAACTTGTGCCCGTCTGACTGATAAGCATCAGCATTTACACTACAGATTTATAGCTTCCATTCAGGGGAATATATAGTAAATATAAATATATAGCCCAATAATTAAACTGAATTACCAATCATTATTATTTAAACTGCTGAGAAATTCGGAGAGGATGTGGGTAAAGATTAAAAGATATGGAACCAGGATAAGGTAATACGTATCTTTCTTAATATTCTCCCAGGGGTTATTAGATGAGCTGGAACTTTACTAACGCAGTTCAGTTAAATAAATCGTGTTAAAAGTTAATATTTAGCAATGTGCTGTTTCCAGGTAGTTATGTTATGATTTACAAATGCTTAACTGGTAGCTTGGATACATTTAGTCATTTGTCACCATTCATTTACTTGCTGATTCGACAGTTTAACAGCAGCCCTCCAATTCGATTTAATTATTAAAGCTGAGAGAACTAAAGAATCTGTTAAAAAATGAGCACACAGCAACGCGATAAGATAAAGGCTTTAATACACCCTTGTCTGTAAGGAAGGACATGAGTCAAAATGAAAAAGTGCATCTCCCTTTTAATCTGTTCCAAGATTAATTTTCACTCCATTTGTATACAAAAAAAAATTAAAACATTTATATATAATTTACGGCAGATGTTGCCTGTACATTTAAAATTAGGGGGGGGGGCAGCTTGATTCATGTCAAATGACACTGCTTCACAACTGATATTAGTATACATTTACTGCTAATGTACAATAGCAAACAGAAGAAAGAAGATCTATTCCGAAATCAATCATACCACTCAGAAACATTTCCTGTCTGTGCTTGGGAAGAGGAGGGGCTTGACAGAAACACTCAATAGCGACCTGTGAAACAAAGCAAGAGTCATTAGATGAACCCAAACACATTGCAACCACTTTTTGATGCATCAGTGAAAGTTCATGAGAAGGACTCACGGGGAGAATAAGACCGTGATCTGGACCTAGACCTGTAAGCCCCTCTGTAGTATGGTGAAGGAGATCGCCTTCTGAAACAAGACAATATTAACAGTTTTCTTTCGAGGGTATTTTAAAAAACACTGAACAGGGCACTACGATACCACAATGTGCAGGATTACTGCTGTAACACTGAGACAATCACCTGTATGATCTGTAGTAGTCCCTGTCGTCATAGCGATCATAGCCGCCTCTGTCGTATCCGCGGTCATATCCACGGTCGTAGTCACGCGAGTAGCGTCGAGGACCACTTGGACCACCTCCACCACTACACAGAGGACGATACGAAGATTACATTTAGTTTAGGTTTCCTATTTCACAATTAAATTAATTTATTTTTACAATTTCAATTTAATTTAAGAAGACAACTCCATTTAACGGCTCCTCTCTTTCACCTAATGTAGTGTTATTTCTACCTGACAACAGTCAGCAATTTCTGTCTCTGAGTATGTCGTGACATTACAGCTCTGGAGGAAGTGATTACCCACCTCTGATGCTACTCTTTTATAATTACACAGCTACATTTGTCACTTTATTTAGAAGACCAGTGTGTAGGATATGGTGGCATCTAGCGATGTAGTTTCAGACTGCATCACCCTCCACTTCCCAGCACAAAGGAGAAAGTATGATGGCTGGAAAACATACAAATGCCCCTATCTAGAGCCAGTGTTTGGTTTGTCTGCTCTGGGCTACTGTAGAAAACCAGTGGTTCAACATGGAGACATCCATAATCGGTGACCTTGTAGATATAAAAGGCAACGAAAACATAACTAGTCGAATTTCCAGGTGATTATAAACTGATGAAAACATACTTATAGATATTAATATCCCATTCCGGTATTAAATTCTCCTAAAGTTACACACACATTAAAGTGAATTAAAGGGTAACCAATTGATTCAAGACCACTGTTACCAGATCTTGTCTCTATTCTTTTTGTTGCTTAACAAAGATAAGCATTTGTCTTTATCTTTGATGGGTTAGATCTACAATTTATACTAAAAACACCTAAACAAACAATCAGATCTTATTTACTAAGTGGAGGCACTGGGTTTTGTTTTACCTGTCTAATGAAACACTGTTTCAGATGGCTTACTATGTGGGTCGGCCCATGTAGATTCCAGGGGTTGGGGTGTGAGGTCTTTTTGTAATGGAGAAGTCCACCCTGATCCTACGACCATCCAGCTCCATGCCATTGGCTCGTTCCTTTGCCTGACAGTGAACAAACATATAAATGACCTCTAAAGACCCAGAAAACACAAAAACAGGTCTGAAAGGAGCATTTGTCAACTCATATTCTTATACCTCTTTAGCGTCATCTTTGTTCTCGAAGTAAACAAAAGCGAAGCCCCTGGAGCGCCTTGACTGCTGGTCATACACAATAGAGACATCCGCCAGGGGGCCATATTTAGAGAAGACTTCCCTCAGATCCCTCTCTGTGGTGTACAAGCTCAGGCCAAACACTCCCAGGCAACAGTTCGGATCTGGATTAGCCTGCAATTTTAAAGCTATTAAGGTTCTGGTATGATCATACACTTTGATGTAACAAACCATTTGACTCCTTCATACTCAACAAAATGAAGTTCCTTTATTAGTAAATAAAGATTATAAGGATAAATAATATAATATGAAGGATGAACTCAGGCAAAGCTTATTGACTTTTAGAACATTGTACCCACAAGGGCCATTGAGTACTTACACGGTTGCCGATGTGCCTGCGGCGGTTGGACATCGGTGAGCGGCTATGGCTCCTGCGCCGGCGCTCTCCACTGTAGGACCTACTGTGAGATCGACGGCGATAGGACCTTGAGCGGGAGCGAGATCGGCTATAGTGTCTGCGTGAGCCACGGTGGGAATGGGACCTGTGCAAACAAAACACTCCATTCACTTTGGTTCTACGGTCACTCACACCAAATTGCTCTGCATCAGCTTCAAAAGACGAGACAAGCATCTACATTTCCAGAATTTAACTCACCCAGACTTCGACCTGGACCGAGATCGAGACTTAGAGCGGGAGTGGCGGGACCCTTCTTTTGAACGGGCAGGCGAGCGAGCCGGGGAGCGGCTTGCAGACTTCCCTGAGCCCCGTGGACTCACGCTCCTGGATGCAGAGCGAGACTCCTGAACGAACCACACACACACCAACACGCCTCTTATCAGCACCAGGACAAATGGAGAAATTTGCCTGAATATTTATATGTAGTAAAGAATGAAAACTATCCTGTGAAAAGCACAGAAAAGAGCAAAATCTAGGAGTGTGGATTAGGAATGCAGGGTTTTGTAGCCATGGATAATATGACATCAATATGATTACATTAATCAATACATTTGTTTACGTGATTAAAAACAGAAATTTGTCAGTTGTGTAAAAATTGTAATGATTTAAACTAATGTGTGTGTTGTATTCAATAACAAGAACATGCACGCATTTGACAAACAGACCATAAAATTACTTAGCACAGTGACCTTATCCAGATTACTTCCTTAACTTCATTTCTGTAACTTCATTACTTCACATTATTCTTCTTTCTTCAATTGTCTTACTTCTTCTTACTTCCCCCATCTCACACACTGCCCATACTTCTTCCCTCCTCATGTTTTAGCATGCATTCAACAATTCAGCTTCACACATCTGAGCTTCATATTATTGAAAATAAAGTAGACATGAGACTTCTTCCGTATTTTCTTCGTCCAACCTTAACCTTTATGAAAAAGAAAAGGATGAAGAATATATGACTGCAATTAAAACTGCACCCTCATTCAACTTTTAATGTGTTATTACGATTTTATGACATGCATGGGAATGTTTAAGACCACATAATACAAATATTAAATATTAGTTGTATAAATATTTCACTTTCAGTGGTTCTACATTCACTGTTATGTCCTATGGGCCACTTTCAGTTAGAAGTCTCTGAAGCATCTTAAGTTAACATTAATAAAGAAAGATGACGCCAAAACATATGAACACACATTCATCTAATATTTTACATTCTGGTTGTATGTATCTTAACACTTTAGTAGGATGTCAGACACACAAGGTTGCCTGCATCAGGATTATTCTACCATTCATATTCACAATAAGGTATAAAATAATTAAATTGAATATTATTTTCATTTTTAATACATTGTGTTCCTTCTTAAATCCTACTGACATAATTTCTGTAAAGTGGCCTCTAAGGCATAAAAGTGCATACCACTGAATGTGAATGATACCAACTCAAAATTGAATAAATCTAGACTTAAGGCAGCCCCCAAACGACCTCAAGATGCTGCCACTCATTTGTATTGACTTGCATCATTAGCACTGATCTTCAGCACAAAGCTGTAGATATACCAAAACATAAAACACATAAACATATACTCATTGTGGCCTTGTATTGTTCACTTAATTAAACAAAAACAAAAAAATCATGGGTGTAAGCCACATAATTATATAAAAATGACTGAATAAACTGTGCAGCTATATTCTAGAGAAAACTGCCTCCATGTACTTGTGATAGACTAAATTACAACATGTTCTGTAGATTATCACACTGTGAAGTTGATTATTGATTATTTTAACACAAAACAAGCACCCCGTCCAGATACATACAGAAACAAAATAAGTCAAAGACCAGTATATGGGGTTTTTAATCCACAGTAAATTGTTTTATTAAACATATAAACAGGTTTTTGGTACCACTGTGTTGCTAAGATATAACATGTGCAAGTTAATGCAGATGAATAAGCAGAAATCTTGAGGTCGTTCGTTTTAAAAATCAAACAGGGCCACAATGATTAACACCATTATGTCGTTTCGAGTTACACAAGTTACCACGCCCAAAATGAGAAATCATAATAATAATAATATTGTAATAATTAATTTTAGCAAACGTAAATTCACATCACTCAATCGAGATATTGTTTACTGTCTCAAAATGCATAAAACAAATACAAAATTAAAAACTGTTAAATCAATTTCATCTGCAGAATGAAGCTAATGTCGACATAGAAAACTATATTTCCTTCAGGTTATCTAGGTTTCTGCACACAGTCCGTCTGCACAGCTACATATAATATATATAATATATATAATATATTTATTCAAGGTGTTTTAACACATCTGCCCGCTTTAACAACGCTTTAAGCCCACACAGCTGACATTAAACTGGATACACACTTAATGTTAACGATGCACATTAAAGAAACCTTGACTGTGCACAGTTTTAAGAGCAGGTTTAGCTGTCTGACTGAAGTTTGCATCGTGTTTTCTGCTTTCAGTAACAACAACACAGACGAGGCCTGCAGCTACCATCTGCGAGCTAGCGTTAGCCAGCCAGCTATGTGTTATTAGTTACCGTAGTAATGTGCTGCACACTGCTCATTTAAGCAAATTAAAACGGCATGCTATGATAAATCATAAATAATAATAACAAATGATTATTTCCGGATGCGTATTCCCCCCTGAGAGAGTTGAGCTAGCTAGCTAACGACAGCCAACACTGACTGCTTTCACTTCCAGACAAACGAGTCGTTCATTAAAACTTTAGCTCAATAAAATAAAAACTGTACGATAAGAGCATCCACAAAGCTCATACGTACCCGTCCGCCGTAACCTTTGTCGTTTTCGCTCATTTTGAGTGACACTGGCTATATTGAAATGACAGATTAATTTTTTTTAAAGCTAACCAGCTATCTACAATGTGTCTATGCTACGTGTGTGTGTGTGTGTGTTTGTGGTGTGTTGTTGTGTGTTGTGTGTGTGTGTGTTGTGTGTGTGTGCTCTCTACACCCCCTTCCCATATCCCCATCGCTGGGTATGGATATTTGTTATGATAGCTGAGGGGGTACATGACCATAATAAGCAATTTCATTTTTTTCCCCCAGATTGCATTAATATAGTTTCTTTTAGCTTTAAACAAAAAAGTTGCAGTCTGCCATTCCAGTGAGTGTCAGTAGAAGAGGAGACAGCAAGATATAATATGACATGGATATTTTATAAAAGGTGCAGAAATGATTTCAGTTGTAAGAAATCAATGTTTCCATTCTGGCTTTAATAAGATAAGATTCTAATAGTCCCACAATGTGAAATATCCAATCTTACAGCAGCAAGTGGGACAGAGAAAAAAAAACAGATATAAAGACAGTAAGAGTATGAAAATATAATATAATATAATATAATATAAACACTGTACAAGAGAAAAAACATGTTGCTGTGAAAAAGGAGAATCTAACTGCATGTTTTTATTTGTACATAAGACACCAACTTTGTTAAGTGTATATATTTAAGGGCATTTTATGAAATTATTATAGTATTTCATACTATAGTATGAAGAAATATTTCTTAAAAGATGTACCCTTCTACCAGCCACTGTTTCATCATGTTTTTTTCTCACCTGGAAGCCAAGAAGAAAGATTTTTTTTAACACCTTGTCAGCAGCTATGAATGCATGCCATCAACACCCCAGCACAGAGCGGCCTGTTCCTGTTATCTGTTCTTTACCGTGTTTCTTGGCCTTTCCTCTTTTTCCTCTACCACTGCAGCTGTATTTAGCAAGTGAAGAGCAGAAAACTGATGCCTCGGACAGAAAAACACCCCAAACACAAGGGGACTTTGTTTCTGTTTCATTTCATTTGTCTGATTTTAAATTCCTGAAACTCATAGGGTTCAGTGCTGTGGAAGGTTTATGTTTTAATAAAACCCTAAATCATTGTACATGAGTAAATGCACGTTAAGAGATCTGTCACTTTCACGCAGATCTGAACAGAAAACAATAATCTTGTCAGACTGAAATTCACCTGAAAGCAGTATCAGGTGTGATGTGAGAAAACAGACCATTCCTTAATCTTACTGTTGCATTTTCTTTATTTGAAGTGAGCAGAAGCCGAGAAGGACGCAGAAAATGGAACAAACTGATTCAGATAATGGTAGTGGCAGGCATATAAATATGTATCACAGTGCTGATAGTAGATATTAGAGAGAAATGCAGCTTTCAGCTCTTACTCATCCCTTTATTTGCACCGTATCACACTTTTAATTGCAGATTGTACTCAGAACTGACTGAGCACAATCTAAAAGTGCAGACTAGAACTTGTAATAATAATTAAAAAAAACTAATAGAGAAAAAGGGTATAGCTATAAAGTTATACCAGAAGTTATAATGAACCATTTTCCACATCTGACATGATGAGATTTTAACAGAACATGTGTGAAAATGAGTGTAACACCCTGGATTCCAGTTACTCGTTGGCACCTGTAGTGGGGAGCAGAAAGAAAATAAATCAATCATTTTTAATGTAAGAAATATTTTTTTCCAGCCAGTATATGTGTAAGTTCACCTACCACAGTTATATAGGACATTTATTTTATGAAGGTCTAGCATACTGGGCCCATCTCGCTGGCCAATGGGAATGTAAGGATCTGGTTTGGGGATTATTGTTGGTCCACCATCCTCAGAGAAGGCGTATCTGGATGAAAGATGCACAAAGTAAACAGTATTGTGACGCCCCAGTAACACACGCAAAAGCTATAATTATGTTGCTGAAGAGAGCAGCTCACCTTCCATAATGCATCACAGAGCTGTAGTCATATGGACTGTTGAGATTGTTTGTCACCTGTTTCCTGAAGTTATGCATTTGTTCTGTCAAAACAATAAAGATAAGGGACATAACCAACCAAGACTGGGATTGCAGCAACATGATGTCGGGTGGTGATAATTCATCCTAACCTGGAATGATGTTTTTCCACACAATCGAGACATAATGGTCTCGGTCTGAGCGAGACTGCTCATGTACAAAGCCGAGGGCGTGCATGAACTCATGGGCAGCCACTCCTGACCACATGCACCCAGGAGTCTGCAGCGACAGGGTCTGACTTCCTCCAGTCTGCCCCAGAAACGACCAACAACTTGGGGTGCAGAACAGAAATGATGTGTCATCATAACAATGCAAAATCTCCGCACAAGAATTGTGTACAGAGTCACGTAAAAGCCACATGTAGCAGTCACACTCACCCGTATCTAGGCTGGATGTCAAGGAAGTTGCCTTCATGAGTGCGGGGAACAAATTTAATACATGTTCCAGAGGAAATGTCCTGCATCCCATTTTCTATGGTGATTCTGTCCATGTCGTCTACCGTAAAAAAACAAAAACAAAATGTGAGTTAAACAGAAAGCTTTGGTCTCCCAATCCCTCCATACATCTGTGGATATATACCATATAGTGGAGAGAGGATGAAGGGCACGTAAACAAATCCATCGATTGATTTAGGCCACAGACAGGCGTTGCCAGGGCAGGTTATGGCACTCCGTATGTATGAGGTGGCAATATCTCCCTCTCTGAATGACAGTCCTCTGGGGGATTGCAACCCTGATGAGAAAAAACATTTACCTCAGTCCAGCCTACAGTATAGTAAAAAAAAAAAATCACTTCCATTATATATAATTACTCACTCCTATTGACTAACAGGATTTGATCCATTGTGTTCATTTCATCACGGTCTGTAATTTCATCTGAACACAAAAACAAATAGATTTTTTTTTTTACGCAATCAGAATTATCATAAAAATATTATTTACATGCATGTATAAGTTACTTTTTTCCAGGAGCCTACCTGAGTATTTCCTTTTCAACCTTACTTTCCCCTCATGTACTCCGGTAGAATTCTGCAATACAAAAGTGCATTTATGTTGCAAAGCACGACAAAGAGCAAAAAAAAAAAAAGGGGCATCTGCTCAAAAATATTTCTCTTGATACTGACCTTAACAGGTAGAGTATCTGCCTGGGTCAGCAAGCCAAACAAGATACCCAGAAGGATCATGGTAGAATGCATTCTTGTGTTTCAGATTGGTAACACCCTTTTCAATCTGCAGTCTTTCAAAGCAACAGCTAAATGAACTCCTCACCTCCTCTGATATCTATATACCCACTTCTCCTCCAGCGCTCCGTACTGATTGGGCACATATTCTGTGATGAAGCACGATTAAGACCCCTCATCATCCGCCATATGTAATTTACTCAAGTCCACTGCTGATCCGTAACAGGTGGTCCTGATGTTGACCTTCACGCGTGCCCTGTACTTAATGCAGTGCGTGTTACGATTCAGCACTTTCAGAAATGAGACACTTAAAGGTGTTTTGCTGTTGGTCGTGCTACAACTCAGCAGTTGCGACCGGGAGAATAACCGTCCACCCAGTCCAGCAGACCAGCAATTTGTGCCTGACTGTACTGCCAACCAGTGATTTTGTGATAGCTGATAACTGTCTTGACAACGATCATTTGGTCACATAGTTAAATATATAAAAACAAAACCTTATCCTTCTCCAAATATCATTTTTATCCCTATCAAGGGGCCAATTTAAAGAGCAAGACTGAGGAAAGTGTTGGCAGTTGAGGAAATCTTGCCTCCATGGTCACTGCAAGTGTCTTTGAAGGGTGCGTGGTTTTCAAGCCTTCAAGTCTTTTCATTCCACAAGCTAGAATTCAGGTAAGTGTTTTCTTCAGTCTTCCTCTGAATAAAACTATTTCTCCTTTATCTATTGTGAATGTGATTGTATTAGTCATCTTCAAAAGCCTTATTTTACTGTAGTATTATGTATGAAAGCATGCGTGCAAGTAGTATATTTTCTTCAAGTTCAAGTCATCTCTTGCTGATTCATTAAATTGCTTATGTTGTATATATTAAGTGGAAAGGGACACTTGGATGACAAATTCAAACTCTCTATTGTTCTTTATCTTTCCTACACAAAATTTAACACCATCATACTGACTCACTTTCTCAACGCCAGCTACGTGATCTTTAAAACACACAGGACAGCATGCACACCGAGGAAATGCTGATAGAAAGCTTGAATCAATCTTTATTTAAATTGTCTCCATGATTTAGCATCAGTTTATTATGTTAGATTTCAGTACATTCCTGTTTCACATCAGTTCAGTTTGGTTAGTAATCATCCGCGTCACCTGCAGAGAGAGACAGAGAGAATCACAGATCTGACAAAGAGTGTCATCTATACCATTATTAGCTCTGAAATAATGGAGGTTAGTTGATTCTGTTTTGGTACTGACCACACTGATAAAGCTTGTTGATTTTCAGCTTGTCAATGTGGCTGAGAGTCGAAGTCTGGCCCAGCTTTATGTTCTTGCTGTTTTTAGGAACGATGGTTGGCTCTCCATCTTGAGAGTAGGCATACCTAAACGCACACATTTCATTATAATACATAAGCCACATTAAACTATACTGAGTGATCTACATCAAATTATCACTTACATCCCAAAGTGCATGATTGAGGCATAGTCGTATGGTAGGTCCATACTGTCTGTCTTGAATTTCTCAAAGTTCCTCACCCGATCTGTTGGATATTCAAAAACATTTTATAGTTAATATTTATGAGCCTTAATTTAGATTTGTGCTGTTTTTTGTGTACTATGTGTAAAGCACTTTACATCTTTGGTATGGTAGTTATAAATATTCTTTAATTTACCATTTGAGGAGATCTCATTCCCCAATGCCCCACCCCTTCCTGCCCCTTTGAAATTACCCCTCCAAATGTTTGGCCACATGATGGTGACATAGTTGTCCCGGTCAAAGCGAGACTGCTCGTGCACAAAGCCCAGGGCATGCATGAATTCATGGGAAACCACTCCAATCTGGAGGCAGTTGGGGCTCTGGAGAGACACAGTCTGTCTTCCACCACGCGAACCAAGGTAGGACCAACACCTGGATTATTCAAAATTAAAGGTTTATCCATTTGAGTTCAACTCATACTTCTAACAAACATTAAAAAACTGCTATAAAAGACAACCAACATGATCAAACTTTCCTCACCCAGACTTTGGCTGGATGTCGATGTAGTCTCGCTGGTGAGTCCGAGGAACAAACCGCACACAGGTACCTTTCTCTATGTTTTCCATCCCTTTCTTTATCAGCTTTGTCTCCGTTTCGGCTGTTCATTTAAAAGTTTAGACAGAGTAAATTGTATAAATCATCAAATAGAAAGTTGGTGAGTCTCAAACAAGTATGGGTCTGTAATGTTATGCATTGAACACGTACGTACAGTAATCAGGTGAGAGCATATATGCAACATAGACATGTCCATCCACTGACTTAGACCAGAGGCAGCTACGAGCGAAGCAGACTTTGGCACGCCTTCCAGCAGTAACAGCAATGTCTCCCTCTCTGAGACTGGTAGTGCCGTCTATCATTCGAGAAGCTGAGACAGAAATTTGGGGGGAATTAAACAATCCCACATAGTGCAACAGGAGCTTATTTGCTGCAGTATCTTGTGCAAAATGCTAAATAATTAAATAGTTTGCAACTTACCATGAAACTCATTGGCTTTTATGATTTCATCCATTGCTGTCCTATCGCCATGCTCTTCACGTTCTTAAAACGACAAAGAGTTTTTTAGTCAGTGTGCGTGTTTTTAAGACGGTCACGCTTACATTAACGCTGAAATAAAATCCAAATTGTATTTACCTTTAAAGCCGATGGGGCCCCATTTTGGGCTGAATAAAAACTTCTGCAATAAAAAAAACAGACCACTTTTTAGGCAATCCTGTTGCAGTTTGTTGTTGAACTTACAGTCCCACTCCAGCCCCGTGCATATTTACCTGAGCATGTATGGCCGAGATACAGGTGGAAACCACGCACAAGAGGATAATCCGCTCCATCTTTGCCAGTCAGATATGTCTTCAGTGTTGCCATTTCACCTGTACTAACACCTAGCTTTATAGGTGTCCCCTGTCTCTGTCCCAAGATAATACCCATGATTATCTCAGGTAAATTACAGGGATACTGTTATTTGTTTGTGAGTGAGTTTAATCCCCAAATTAGTTTGATTGTTTCATAAACAACAACTCCAACAGCAGGATAATGTGAGGTCTCACTGAGTGTAATAACAGCTCCACTTCAATGACTAGCTTTAAATTAAATGGTTTAATGTTTGGCACAGGTTTGGGTCAATTTTAGGCTTTAGTTGTCTCATACGTTTACCAGGAGTGCTGTTTTCTTTCTACTGAAGCTAAGATTACCAACAGTTGACATGTTGAGCTGCTAATTTCAAATGATACATAACTCACGCAAAATCCACGTGTTAATAACATATTCTCTCAAACTGTTATTCATTAGTTGTATCATTGTGTTGTCACAATAAAAGAATAATAAATTAAAAAAACTCTCATTTTCTATATATTGCAAAAACAAAAACATTGACGCCCGAACAGGGACTTGAACCCTGGACCCTCAGATTAAAAGTCTGATGCTCTACCGACTGAGCTATCCGGGCGCTCTGAAATCAACGTGGCCTGATATCATTCTTAAAAATCCCTTATGTAATTTTTATTATTTAAACTTAATTAAACAAAAGTCAGTTCATGCAAAATTTCCTATAATAACACTATAAGTTAAATAGAAATAAATAAGTTAGATAAACCATATTTAATGTCAATATTCCTATTTTTCAGCCAATGTTTCCCACTAAATAGTGCAACTTTAAATAAACAATGATGCAGTTCAGTGCAACTACAATGCTGATAATGTTGTTGCATGATGACAAACTATGGGTTTGCCATGAGTTTGATGGATTCTAACCATTTTAAATTCAGCATTTAAGTGGTTTTTCTTAATAAGTCTGACACAGACGGTGCAGTGAGTGCTGTATTGTACCTCTTCATAAGGCTAATAGAAAGATTAAGTCACTCAACTTGCATCTTTATAGTCACACAGTTGACAACATTTTGGCCAATGAACAGCATTAATATGCATCTTTTAACTTTGCATCCCAACACTTAAATGATAAAAAAAATCAAACAAATGTTCAATGAAGCACAGTCACCAGCCTCGTGGCACATCTCTCTGGTAATATGCAACAACTTCATGAGTCTGTTCTCACTTGCAGTACCAAAGAAACTGAGCGGAGAGCGGATTTGATGGTGGAAAAAACTGAAGCCGTTGAGTGGTTGCAGGAAATGGGGTCCTCGCTACAAAGAGAAAAAGTGCCTTTCTGAGCAGCTGAATGGTCAAACCTGCTGCAATCCGGTTAATGTAGCGCATGAGAATGACTTGCATACAAAAATGTTG